GCCAGGCTCTGTCGGGGACGACCATGCAGGTAGAGCTTCGGGAGCCGACCTGAGACCCACAGAGCCACGGCCGCCCAGATCAGGGAAGCCTCTGGGACGCCTCTCACATATCTCAGGAACCGTGAGACTCTAGACGGCACCATGTCCGCTGCAGGATGTGGGGTCCAGGTGCCGGGACGACCTTCTGTCCTCAGGAGGCCACGCTGCATGACAGGCTCCGCCCTCTCTTCCTCCCTGGGGCCCCTGACTGCTGGGACCCCCAACCCTGAGCCTTAGAGGGGAGTGGCCCCCCCACCCAATGGGACCTGACACCCCGTCCGGGGCTCTCCCTGCAGGTGGGGCACTGAGGGTTGAGGGGCTGAGGCCTCACTGTTCTGGGACTCCAGGAAACAGGGAAAGCCCACACTCAGGTTTAAGGCAGGAGGTCCCTGGTCTTGAGGAGCAAATTCTCTTTCATTTTTCCAAACAGCTCCATTTATTACCTACTGAGAATTTATTTGAATTTCTAGTGGCTCAAAACTTTTTTCATTTTCCTGTTTATTAAGAAACCCAATTCCCAAGCAGAGTAGCTCAAAGCCAGCAGTCAGACCAAGAGCACATTTTCTCTACAACTCACCATCAGGCCCACGGGAGTGGGAGGTGCCCACCCAGGGAGGGCTGGTGGCCCTTCAGTCTCCTCAGCGTTGGGGACGGGACCTGGGGTGAGGTTGGGGGACACCTGGGGCCTCCCTTCCCCCAGCACCTCCACCTCCAAGTGAGCTGCCAACCCAGAGCAGTCCAAATAGGTGGGCCACTGTGCCCCGCCCCCAGGCTGCAGGTGGGGTCTGTGCAAGCTCCTGGTGGGGTCTGCATGGTCCATGGATGTGTCTCCACTCATCAGCCTGAGTCTCTTTCGTGAGCTGAGCCTCTGCACCTCTAATCCTCATCATGGTTCTGCTGGCCGGGCACCACCACCACCACTCCCACAGTTTACGGCTCATGCCAGTGGAGCCCAGCAAGGTTTGGGGTCTTGCCCAAGGCCACACAGCTCTTTGGCGACATTCTGGCCCCAGAGCCACTCTCTGGGTGTGTGGCTGAGGGGCCGGTTCAGACGGAGGGGTGACCGAGGGACGGCGGCCTCAGCTGAGAACCAATCCCAGGATCTGGCTCAGGGCGTGGGAGTCAGGACAGGACACGGGGCCAACATGGAGACCCAGTAGGAGCCAGCGGGGCTCTGCCAACCACCGAGGGACAGAGAGAGAGAGCGAATCCCACCCGGGGACAGAGAGAGAGAGAGAGAATCCCACTCAGGGACAGAGAGAGAGAGAATCCCACTCGGGGACAGAGAGAGAGAGAGAATCCCACTCGGGGACAGAGAGAGAGAGAGAGAATCCCACTCGGGGACAGAGAGAGAGAGAATCCCATTCGGGGACAGAGAGAGAGAGCGAATCCCACCCGGGGACAGAGAGAGAGAGAGAATCCCACCCGGGGACAGAGAGAGAGAGAGAGAATCCCACTCGGGGACAGAGAGAGAGAGAGAGAATCCCACTCGGGGACAGAGAGAGAAAGCGAATCCCAACCGGGGACAGAGAGAGAGAGAGAATCCCACTCGGGGACAGAGAGAGAGAGCGAATCCCACCCGGGGACAGAGAGAGAGAGAGAGAATCCCACTCAGGGACAGAGAGAGAGAGAGAGAGAATCCCACCCGGGGACAGAGAGAGAGAGAGAGAATCCCACCGAGGGACAGAGAGAGAGAGCGAATCCCACTCGGGGACAGAGAGAGAGAGAGAATCCCACTCAGGGACAGAGAGAGAGAGAGAGAATCCCACTCAGGGACAGAGAGAGAGAGCGAATCCCACCCGGGGACAGAGAGAGAGAGAATCCCACTCGGGGACAGAGAGAGAGAGAGAGAATCCCACCCGGGGACAGAGAGAGAGAGAGAATCCCACTCGGGGACAGAGAGAGAGAGAATCCCACCTGGGGACAGAGAGAGAGAGAATCCCACTCGGGGACAGAGAGAGAGAGAGAGATAATCCCACTCAGGGACAGAGAGAGAGAGCGAATCCCACCCGGGGACAGAGAGAGAGAGAGAGAATCCCACCCGGGGACAGAGAGAGAGAGAGAATCCCACCTGGGGACAGAGAGAGAGAGAATCCCACCCGGGGACAGAGAGAGAGAGAATCCCACCCAGGGACAGAGACAGAGAGAGAGACAATCCCACCCGGGGATGGAGAGAGAGAGCGAATCCCACCCAGGGACAGAGAGAGAGAGAGAATCCCACCCGGGGACAGAAAGAGAGAGAATCCCACCTGGGGAAAGAGAGAGAGAGAGAATCCCACCCGGGGACAGAGAGAGAGAGAATCCCACCCAGGGGCAGAGAGAGAGAGAGAGAATCCCACCTTGAGAAAGAGAGAGAGAGAGAATCCCACCTGGGGACGGTGGGGGAGAGAGAGAGAGAGAGAGAGAATCCCCCTGGGGAGGCACTGACTTTGAGCCACCCAGCGACAGCTCAGTCTCGGGCAGAACAGGAGGTGTCAGGGTTTTAATAAATTGGAAATAAAACTCTAAGCTCCAGTCCCCCCAGGTAAAGTTTTCCTTGGAATTAATTTCTGAGATAAATTGTTTTGGAATTGTTTGGTCCATCTCTTCTAAGCCCGCAATGTTTTTCTGATTAGACACTTTCATCGGAGCAGGGTCTGAAAGGCACCTCCATCGTGCCAGTATTGAGCTTTATGGGGAAAGGATGGATTCCTGGCCGGTGGCTTTACTGAAACTGCGCTGCTTGCTCGGTGGAATGAGATGTGGGTACCGCTGCCGGCTGACCTCCACTTCTGTCCACCTCGCCTCAGGGCTGGGGTGCCGCAGGAGTGAGGGGGCTGGGGTGCCGCAGGGGTGAGGGGGCTGGGGCGCCACAGGGGTGAGGGGGCTGGGGTGCCACAGGGGTGAGGGAGGCAGGGTGGGGCTGATCCTTCCGGAGGGAGCCTGGAGGGGCGGGTCCAGGACAAGGGAAGGAAAGGTCCAGTAGCTGCTGGGGGCTTAGAGGAATGGGGTCAGGGTCCACACACACCTGCACAGAAGCCCAAGGTAAACCAGCAAGGTGCTGTCCACAGGCAGCAGGAGAGGAACCAGTGAGTCACTCTACCCCTTCTACACTGGACCAGTGAGTCACTGCAGCCCCTTCTACACTGGACTAGTGATTCCCTCCACCCCTTCTACACTGGACCAGTGATTCACTCCACCCCTTCTACACTGGACCAGTGAGTCACTCCACCCCTTCTACACTGGACCAGTGAGTCACTCCACCCCTTCTACACTGGACCAGTGAGTCACTCCAGCCCCTTCTACACTGGACCAGTGAGTCACTCTACCCCTTCTACACTGGACCAGTGATTCACTCCAGACCCTTCTACACTGGACCAGTGATTCACTCCATCCCTTCTACACTGGACCAGTGAGTCATTCTACCCCTTCTACACTGGACCAGTGATTCACTCCAGACCCTTCTACACTGCACCAGTGAGTCACTCCACCCCTTCTACACTGGACCAGTGAGTCACTCCACCACTTCTACACTGGACCAGTGAGTCACACTACCCCTTCTACACTGGACGAGTGATTCACTCCACCCCTTCTACACTGCACCAGTGAGTCACTCCACCCCTTCTACACTGGACCAGTGAGTCACTCCACCACTTCTACACTGGACCAGTGAGTCACTCCACCCCTTCTACACTGGACCAGTGAGTCACTCCAGCCCTTCTACACTGGACCAGTGAGTCACTCCAGCCCTTCTACACTGGACCAGTGAGTCACTCCAGGCCCTTCTACACTGGACCAGTGAGTCACTCCAGGCCCTTCTACACTGGACCAGTGAGTCACTGCAGCCCCTTCTACACTGGACTAGTGATTCCCTCCACCCCTTCTACACTGGACCAGTGATTCACTCCACCCCTTCTACACTGGACCAGTGAGTCACTCCACCCCTTCTACACTGGACCAGTGAGTCACTCCACCCCTTCTACACTGGACCAGTGATTCACTCCACCCCTTCTACACTGGACCAGTGAGTCACTCCAGCCCCTTCTACACTGGACCAGTGAGTCACTCTACCCCTTCTACACTGGACCAGTGATTCACTCCAGACCCTTCTACACTGGACCAGTGATTCACTCCATCCCTTCTACACTGGACCAGTGAGTCATTCTACCCCTTCTACACTGGACCAGTGATTCACTCCAGACCCTTCTACACTGCACCAGTGAGTCACTCCACCCCTTCTACACTGGACCAGTGAGTCACTCCACCACTTCTACACTGGACCAGTGAGTCACTCTACCCCTTCTACACTGGACCAGTGATTCACTCCAGACCCTTCTACACTGCACCAGTGAGTCACTCCACCCCTTCTACACTGGACCAGTGAGTCACTCCACCCCTTCTACACTGGACCAGTGAGTCACTCCACCCCTTCTACACTGGACCAGTGAGTCACTCCAGGCCCTTCTACACTGGACCAGTGAGTCACTCCACCCCTTCTACACTGGACGAGTGATTCACTCCACCCCTTCTACACTGGACCAGTGAGTCACTCCACCCCTTCTACACTGGACCAGTGAGTCACTCCACCACTTCTACACTGGACCAGTGAGTCACTCCACCCCTTCTACACTGGACCAGTGAGTCACTCCAGCCCTTCTACACTGGACCAGTGAGTCACTCCACCCCTTCTACACTGGACCAGTGAGTCACTCCAGGCCCTTCTACACTGGACCAGTGAGTCACTCTACCCCTTCTACACTGGACCAGTGAGTCACTCCATCCCTTCTACACTGGACCAGTGAGTCATTCTACCCCTTCTACACTGGACCAGTGATTCACTCCAGACCCTTCTACACTGCACCAGTGAGTCACTCCACCCCTTCTACACTGGACCAGTGAGTCACTCCACCACTACTACACTGGACCAGTGAGTCACTCTACCCCTTCTACACTGGACCAGTGATTCACTCCAGGCCCTTCTACACTGGACCAGTGAGTCACTCCACCCCTTCTACACTGGACCAGTGAGTCACTCCACCCCTTCTACACTGGACCAGTGAGTCACTCCAGGCCCTTCTACACTGGACCAGTGAGTCACTGCACCCCTTCTACACTGAACCAGTGAATCACTGCACCCCTTCTACACTGGACCAGTGATTCACTCCACCCCTTCTACACTGGACCAGTGAGTCACTCCAGGCCCTTCTACACTGGACCAGTGAGTCATTGCACCCCTTCTACACTGAACCAGTGAGTCACTGCACCCCTTCTACACTGGACCAGTGAGTCACTCCAGCCCTTCTACACTGGACCAGTGATTCACTCCACCCCTTCTACACTGGACCAGTGAGTCACTCTACCCCTTCTACACTGGACCAGTGAGTCACTGCACCCCTTCTACACTGGACCAGTGAGTCACTCCACCTCTTCTACACTGGACCAGTGAGTCACTGCACCCCTTCTACACTGAACCAGTGAGTCACTCCAGGCCCTTCTACACTGGACCAGTGAGTCACTCCAGGGCCTTCTATACTGGACCAGTGAGTCACTGCAGCCCTTCTACACTGAACCAGTGAGTCACTCCACCCCTTCTACACTGGACCAGTGAGTCACTCCAGGCCCTTCTACACTGGACCAGTGAGTCACTCCAGGCCCTTCTACACTAAACCAGTGAGTCACTCCAGGCCCTTCTACACTGGACCAGTGAGTCACTGCAGCCCCGCTTCTGCCCTGGGACCACTTTCTCTAATGGCACCTTTCCATGAGAGGGGCCCTGCCTCCCCCAGGTCTGCAGCAGCCGAGCACCATGAGGTCTCATCCTTGGGAAGGGTGGTCAGAAAATCCAGACGATGCTTTTCCCTACTTGGAGTCAGACTCACATTCAAGAACTAAAGGCCTGAATAGGTCCTCAGGTGAAAGTTAAGGCATTGGAGCTTGCGTGCCAGGGAAGGGGTGCGCCCACCAGAACCAGCCCAGGTCCCCGCACATATGAGCTCCCAGGCCTACTGCTGAGTGTGTCCTGGCAGCAGCTGTGATGGAAACCAAGCCAGTGGTGGTCACAGGCACCTGCGACGCTGCCCAGAAGCTTCCAGAATCCTGCCCTCAGTGACCGCTCTCTCTCCCACCTGCCCTCCACAGTGGACACAGGTCCACACGGACAACACAGCCTGCTCCAGCCGGGGGAGTGATTCTCTCCACTGTGAGGTTAATTCAAAGCTCAGAAGCATCAAAAGGTAATTAAAGTAAGAATGTCATTCTGCAATAACGCACTCTATTTCAAGATGTCCGGGAGCGTAACAGAGCCCAATGACGTGAGGGTGCTCGGCTTCCTCCCCTCTGTTTCCCAAGCTCGACTCTTCAGGAGGATGGACCCCCAGCAGCCCCGCAATTGTCATTCTCCAAGCATGGAGAGCCCCCGTTTCCATCAGCCGGTAATCCCAGCCATTGATTCGAATTCTTCAACGACAGGCTTGGAAAGGCGGATCAAGCCCTTCGGTCCTGGCAAAGAATGAATCACTCAGCACCAGCTCAGGCCACAGGCCGGCAGCGCCTGCTTCATCTGCAGTCTGGCCTTGCCTGGAACGCCCCTGACCCGGGCAGTCACACTGAGATGATTCAAACCCGCTCTCTCCATAGATCACAGAATAAGCAATCAATTCTTTTGATACGGTTTAAAGACAAAGAGAAGAACTTATTAAATCAAGCTAAGCCTCTGCCATCAAGGACTGGTCAGGACTCTTGGGGAGGGAGGGAGAGAGCGAGGGAGGGAGGGGCGGGGACCCTAGCACAGGTGTGCCCATCCCCCTGCCCTCATGCTCCCTCTCCACCCTTGCCATTGCCTACTCCACCCACCCCCTAGGATCCCAACCTCAGGACCCCTGAGACCCCGCCCACCTCCTGGCCTTTCCTGGGCCGGTCCCTCTGTGCTCTGCCTTGGCCGGTGTCATGTAATAAGGACCGGAGCTGATGTATATGAGCCTGGCTGTGGCTGGGACACTGTGGAAGAGGCACAGGCAGCCCCCCATGGCACCAAGGCCCCCAGAGGGTGCAGGTCTCAGCAGGGCTCCCTCCAGCCTGTGTGTCACCACTGGGCTGCCCCCCCTCCGGCCACATCCTCTAGGACACGGCGTGGAGACTACCACCAAGCCAACACAAGAGCCACACCACGGCATGGGGGTCAGGGCCCCCTGCAGAGCCCACATCTCCCCAGTGCTGAGCGCACTGGAGCTGCTCACTGGCTGATGCCACGGGCCACGCGGGGATGCTCAGTCACACAGTGTTTAAGAGAGTTTTCCCGCAGCCACAGCTCCAGGTTGCCAGGGTCCAATGGCAGTGTCAGGAGCCTGGCAGGGGATGGGACAGCCAAGGCCTCCAGTTCTGCCAACTCCGGCCAGCAGGCGTAGAGCCCCTGCTATGCAGAACTGGTCGTGCATGACCGGGAGTGGTCCCAACACGCACATGGCACCCAAGCAGCAGCACAAGCCCCTCCCACCCCATGCTGCCCCGCCCCAGCTGAGGACCTCTCTGGGCTGGAGGAGAGAGCCAAGGCCAGTCTGCAAGTAGCAGGAGGAGCCAAACGCACCACGCCCACCCCCAGCCTCCACAGCCAGCACCTCTCTAGCCAGCCCATATCTTGGCCAGAGGAAGATGCACTGGACTGGTCAATCGATGGGCATCAGCGGCTGCATCTACAAGAAGCCTGCAAGGCACCTGCCCAGAAGCCCCATCAGCACCACCTGTTCCAGGACAGACTCCACACCCTCCTGACCCAGGACAGACCCCACACCCTCCTGACCCAGGACAGACCCCACACCCTCCTGACCCAGGACAGACCCCGCACCCTCCTGTTCCAGGACAGACCCCGCACCCTCCTGTTCCAGGACAGACCCCGCACCCTCCTGTTCCAGGACAGACCCCGCACCCTCCTGTTCCAGGACAGACCCCGCACCCTCCTGACCCAGGACAGACCCCGCACCCTCCTGACCCAGGACAGACCCCGCACCCTCCTGTTCCAGGACAGACCCCGCACCCTCCTGTTCCAGGACAGACCCCGCACCCTCCTGTTCCAGGACAGACCCCGCACCCTCCTGACCCAGGACAGACCCCGCACCCTCCTGACCCAGGACAGACCCCGCACCCTCCTGACCCAGGACAGACCCCGCACCCTCCTGTTCCAGGACAGACCCCGCACCCTCCTGTTCCAGGACAGACCCCGCACCCTCCTGTTCCAGGACAGACCCCGCACCCTCCTGATCCAGGACAGACCCCGCACCCTCCTGATCCAGGACAGACCCCGCACCCTCCTGATCCAGGACAGACCCCGCACCCTCCTGTTCCAGGACAGACTCCGCACCCTCCTGATCCAGGACAGACCCCGCACCCTCCTGACCCAGGACAGACCCCGCACCCTCCTGACCCAGGACAGACCCCGCACCCTCCTGACCCAGGACAGACTCCGCACCCTCCTGACCCAGGACAGACCCCGCACCCTCCTGTTCCAGGACAGACCCCGCACCCTCCTGACCCAGGACAGACCCCGCACCCTCCTGTTCCAGGACAGACCCCGCACCCTCCTGTTCCAGGACAGACCCCGCACCCTCCTGACCCAGGACAGACCCCGCACCCTCCTGACCCAGGACAGACCCCGCACCCTCCTGTTCCAGGACAGACCCCGCACCCTCCTGTTCCAGGACAGACCCCGCACCCTCCTGTTCCAGGACAGACCCCGCACCCTCGTGACCCAGGACAGACCCCGCACCCTCCTGTTCCAGGACAGACCCCGCACCCTCCTGACCCAGGACAGACCCCGCACCCTCCTGACCCAGGACAGACCCCGCACCCTCCTGATCCAGGACAGACCCCGCACCCTCCTGTTCCAGGACAGACCCCGCACCCTCCTGACCCAGGACAGACCCCGCACCCTCCTGTTCCAGGACAGACCCCGCACCCTCCTGACCCAGGACAGACCCCGCACCCTCCTGACCCAGGACAGACCCCGCACCCTCCTGACCCAGGACAGACCCCGCACCCTCCTGTTCCAGGACAGACCCCGCACCCTCCTGACCCAGGACAGACCCCGCACCCTCCTGACCCAGGACAGACCCCGCACCCTCCTGACCCAGGACAGACCCCGCACCCTCCTGACCCAGGACAGACCCCGCACCCTCCTGACCCAGGACAGACCCCGCACCCTCCTGACCCAGGACAGACCCCGCACCCTCCTGACCCAGGACAGACCCCGCACCCTCCTGACCCAGGACAGACCCCGCACCCTCCTGACCCAGGACAGACCCCGCACCCTCCTGTTCCTCGGCCCTGTGCTCGGGAGCAGTCAGTACAGTCAGTGTGGGTGCTGCAGCCGGGACCTGCCCACAGACGCCCCAGGGACGAGGGCACTGTCATGGGTCTGCTCCAGGATCCACAGGAAACCCACCTGAAATGCAAACGACCCCCTTTCAGAAGAGAGCCCGTCTGCCCCAGAGAAAGTGTCCAGACCCCTCCATCATGGCCAGAGGCTCCAATAGGGACCTCCCAGGGCCCCCAGAGGGGCCTGGCCCCACAGTTGGTGATCAGAAAAGGCGCACTCCCCGCTGTCCCTCTGTGACTCTCCTACACGAAGCACTGGGTGGCAACAGTCAAAGCCAGGCAGGGCAGGGTCTCTCTTCCTCTCCTCTCCTCCCTCTGCTGAGTGAGCCTGGAAGGCCTTATTACCCTAATTGTGAAAATGTATTTTGTTCCGTGTCTGATCCATCCACACAGGGTCCCCAGGCAACTACACTACCACGAGAAGCCCAGTCACAGGCCTGGGAATATAGTCAGGTAAAATAATCAGCGCAGATGCCTCGGGGAGGACTCTCTCTTCCCTCCCGGGCTCACCCTCACCCCAGGCAATGACATACGCCCGCAATGTGGGCCTCAAGTCCAGTTTCTTAAATTGACCTCGCATGCTGGGGAAGGAACACAATCAGACATGACAAGCATGAGAAAATCGCGTTTGAAACACATCCATGAGGACAGCGGCATTTTCAGCTCATACGTGAAGATGGTGGCGTTTTAAGCTCACACATGCTTGAGGCCAGCACCTTGCACTCCCACTCCATTGGCGTGAATGTGTTACCTGGCGGGGTGTCCACTGGCCTCCTGGAAACCTCCCCTGGGCAAGTAGAATCCAGCTTCCCCGGGCCTGGCTGACACTCAGCCCAGGCATATAGGCTCAGGGGCTCCAGGAGGGGTTGGGCAGCCCACCACGCTGTCTGGGAGTCCAAAGGGGCTCCAGGGCCAGCTCTCAGCCTTCATCCCAGGACAGCCGACTGGACGCAGGCCTGAGGTCCAGCCTCAAGAGCCACCTAGCACCTTCCCCTCAGGGAGGCCCCTGGACAGCATGGGTGGCCCTGTGTGGAGGGGCATCACCTGCATGAGAGGCAGGGGCAGGAGAAAAGGGCCAGGGGAGCAAACAGGACTCGGTTCTTAACAGGCAGTTGGTGGTTTCGGTAGATTTGCCCAATGGTGGGAACAGCGGGTGTGGAGTGTGAGACTCGCTGCCCTCCGGCCTCCTGTAGGGCCAGCCCAGCTGGATCTCAGTGGCCCCTCAGCTGGTGTCTGGAACCTGAGCTCCGGAAAGCTGGGGCTGAGCACCTAGGGGAATGCGGAACTTGCTTCCAGGGCATGGTGCCTGAGCTCCCGTGCAGGGCTGACAGTACGTGGGATGTGCCGCCTGCCCTGCGCCAAGTGTGAGCGACTGACTCAGGGCATTTACAGAAGTGCTGGCAGGCGGTGGCCCCCCAGAGCCCGGGCTCCACATTTGTACCCAGTGCCGGGGCTGAACAGAGGGTCCCGTCTGCAAACTCCTCCATCACCTCCAGCACAGGCTCCTCAGCTCCCTGTCTACATCAGTCCCCCTGCACCCATGACCAAGGACTCCAGGTCCCAGGCTATCAGGAGGGGAAACTGAGGCACAAAGCGCTTGAGCACCCGGCCTGAGGGCCAGAGCTGCTGGGCCTCCAGTCTTCATCCAAGTGTCATCAACGCTTACCCAGCGAGAAGGTTGAAGCAGCCGCCCCCACTCCCAGGTGTGGTTCTGACCCAGGCTGGCCGTGCCCCTCCCACAGGGACAGTGTCCTCCAGAGAAGTCAGCAAACCCCGTGGCCGGACCTGGACAGAAAGCCCTGGGTCCTGCCTCCCATGGGCAGTGGGTCCTCCTGCCTTCAGATCCAGGCCTCCCTGAGGCCCCCAAACCTCCTAAAAGCTCAGGCCATGAAGGGCAGGGGACACAAGCCACTGCTGAGGGTCAAATGGCTCTAGGCAGCCTTCCCGGGTACCAAAGTGCCTGAGTGCTCGTCTCCATCCTGAGGTACCGGCCAGCTAGGAGCAGGCCACCGTCTCCAGGCCTCGTTTTCCCCACCTGAACAGCAAAGGGGTGGCCCACAGTGGCCCTACCCCAGTTCCCAGGTTCTGGAGCTCAGCAGAAAGACGTCACCCCTGGACACACAGTCTGACCCAGGTGTGAGTCCATGCTTGGGCCTCATGGGAGGGCAGATGGCCACTGTTGGGACAGCTGGATGGGGCAGGGTGGGGCTAAGGTCTGGCTGGCCAAAGCCTGCAAGCCCACTCTGCCCTCACTGCCCATCTCGGGCAATCGTGTCACTGCCCTGACTGACGGTAAAGCAGGGTCCCATCCAATCAGCAGGGCATCATCGGCTCAGAGCCCCTCAGAACAGGAAGGGGCAGTGCAGACACCCTGGCCAGGCCCCTCGGTTAAGAGGTGGGGAGGTCAAGGCCCCGTAGACAGGGAGGGCCAGCAGGTAAGCGGTACATTGTAAGCAGCAAGGCTGGCACGTCTCTCCCCGTCCGGCTTTGCCATAGGCCCAGCCCTGCCTTTGGCTGCCTGAGCACTTAGGCAGGGCCTGGTGTTCACGAGGACAGCCAGGCTGCTCTGCCCCAGCGGGGACTGGGGCTCGGCCCAGGAGCACTCCAGGAGCCCCAGGCTGGACGTGTGCAGAGAACCTGGAAGCCCCCTTGGAGAAAGCAGCCTGGGGGTGAAGGGAGCACTGGGCAATGAGGCTGAGGCCTGCAGATCGGAGGCCTCCTGTCCTGACAGCCCCATCCTCTGTGGCGAGCTCGGAGTCTGGCTGTTCCCCGACCTCACTTCTCATGGAGGGGTGGGACCGTGGGCCACAGCCATCCTCCAATGTGTTTAACTCAACCTGGAACCGGAGCAGCTCAGGGCCTGGGGGGCATCCAAGCTCTGCTTCGGGGACAGTGGGGACCCACCCTCCCCAGAAGCATGAAGGTTCCCTTTACACACACCTGGTTGGGGGCACCAGGGTCCCACTCGGGGCAGCGCCAGACCCCAGCTGAGAACTTGCCACACACACCTCCCCCTGCAGTGCCAGGCCCCTGAATCTGAACCACAAGGCAGAGTGGAGACCAGAAACTGGACAGAGGAGGCTGTGGGGGCTGCAGACAGGGTGGCCGCCAGAGGAGTGGGGGCCATGGACCAGGAGAAGAGCAGGCGGGTGCCTCAGGACGGAGACAAGCCCCCCACATGCTGCCCCTTCCTGCTGTTTCCGTCTGCCAGAAATGCTGAGTTTTCTCTAGGAGGAACTCACCATGAAAACAAAGTGTTCTGTGATGGAGTGAGGGAACCCTCAGAAGCAAGCACTCTGTCACGAGTACACATCTGTCTTTCAAGAATGCGTCCCCACTCATTGCGAGTGGTAGACGCTGGTGCTTCACAGCTCCTGCTCTCCACAGCAGCTTCCCGTTGTCACTGCATTTGCAATGGAGGCCTTCGTTTTTCTAGGGTGGCTTTGGACGCGTGCTACAGGCACTCAACATGAGCTCCTGGTGGTGCGATAGATTTGCTACCCAGGAATGAAAGGTGACTCTGACTTTATAAAGTCATTCCGCATTCCCACCTGGGCCAGGCCATGACAGGAACAGAAGTCTGAGTCCACAGCAGGTGGAGTTTGTCCAGCTCTCCAGGGGCAGGAGCACCAGCCGAGGAGCACCTGTCTCAGAACACGGTCCCAGAAACCCAGCAGATGCCTCCCTGGCTGACCCCAACTCCTACCTGCCAGACCCCGACAGAAGCCAGCCTTCTGAACTTCTAAAGGTCTCCTAGCACTGGCTGCCCCTGCACAGGAGGTCCTTGCTGGATGGAAGCAGATGAGCAGCCATCGACGGGGCCACAAGCCACTGCTGAGGGTCAAATGGCTCCAGGCTCCAAATCCACCCACAGATTCCACCAGTTGAGATGAAAATGCACACAGGTGGCAGGTGGCAGGTGGCAGGCGGCACAGGAGCCCACCTTCCCCACTCCACTCTGCCTCACCGGAGACCTTGGAAAAGCCTCTTTCATCTTTCTCTCTCTGTTCACCTGAGACCCTGCCTCACGGGGTCATGGAGGGTCATCAGACAAGTCTACAGAGTGCAGGGACAGGACAGGGTGCATGGCACAAGGTCACTAGCTGTCAGTTGCACCTAATGGAGGGAGGAGGATTCTCAGTGGAGGGAGGAGGATTCTCAGTGGAGGGAGGAGGATTCACAGTGGAGGGAGGAAGAGGATTCACAGTGGAGGGAGGAGGAGGATTCACAATGGAGGGAGGAGGAGGATTCACAATGGAGGGAGGAGGATTCACACTGGAGGGAGGAGGTGGATTCACAGTGGAGGGAGGAGGAGGATTCACAGTGGAGGGAGGAAGAGGATTCACAGTGGAGGGAGGAGGAGGATTCACAGTGGAGGGAGGGGGATTCACACTGGAGTGAGGAGGAGGATCCACAGTGGAGGGAAGAGGAGGATTCACAGTGGAGGGAAGAGGAGGATTCACAGTGGAGGGAGGAGGAGCATTCACAGTGGAGGGAGGAGGAGCATTCACAGTGGAGGGAGGAGGATTTGCCCAGCTGAAGGGAGTGCACAGAGCAAGGTCCTAAGAAGCAGCCAGTGTTACTAACAAAAGGGACAAGGGGCAGCTTTGGAGATGGATGGCTGGCTGCAAGCATCGGCTCCAGCACCCTCAGTGCATGGCCCTGCTGAGCTGCCTGGCACCACTTTGCCCCATGTATCATCTGTGAAACATGTGCTAGCAGCTAGAAATGGTTCTATTTCTTTGCCTTGTCTGATAGTCTCATATTGCTTGCCCTCAACAGACTAAAAGCTACTTGAGAGAAGACTGAGACTCAGTCTGTCTTACACCTCACTACATCCCAGTGCCTGGAACAGAGCCTGGCACCCAGAACGGAGGAGCTCACCAAATAACTGTTGGTGGAGTGGGGGAGTAGACGATGGATGAGTGAATGGATGAGTGGAGGGTGGGTGGGTCAGTGGGGGGAAGGATGGATTAATAATGGATGAATGTGTGGCTAGATGAGTGGGTGGGTCGATGGATAATGGATGGGTGGATGAATAAGTGGGTGGATGGATAGATGGAAGGATGGATAGGCGGGGGTAAAAATTGAGCGACAGGTGGTTAAGTGGATGGTCAATTGTGGATGGGTGGGTAGTTGGAATGATGGGTGAATGGTGGATGGGTGGATGGAATGATGGGTGGATGGTGGATTGTGGGTGGGTGGATGGAATGATGGGTGGATGGTGGATGGGTGTATGGGATGATGGTGGAATAATGGGTCGATGGTGGATGGGTGGATGGAATGATGGGTGGATGGTGGATGGGTGGATGGAATGATAGGTGGATGGTGGACAGGTGGATAGGTGGATGGAATGTTGAGTGGATGAGTGAGTGGGAGGATGGAATGATGGGTGGATCAGTGGATGGGAAGATGGAATAATGGGTAGATGGTGGATGGATAGATGGAATGATGGGTGGATGGTGGATTGTGGGTGGGTGGATGGAATGATGGGTGGATGGTGGATGGGTGTATGGGATGATGGGTGGATGGTGGATGGGTAGATGGAATGACGGTGGAATAATGGATGGATGGTGGATGGGTGGATGGAATGATGGGTGGATGGTGGATTGTGGGTGGGTGGATGGAATGATGGGTGGATGAATGGATAGGGAGATGGAACAATGGGTGGATGGTGGATGGTAGATGGTGGATGGTAGATGGTGGATGGGTAGATAGAATGACAGGTGGATAGTGAAGAATGGATAGGGCAGTGAGGGATGGAGGGCATTTGGGGGATGTGGTGCTATCAGGGCTGGTAGGAGATGAAGTGACATACTGCTTATAAACACAGAGAGCAGTGTATGGCAGAGGAGCTACCTGAGGGCAGCCAGCCTCTGATATTGCCGTCAGACCCTCTCCATTAACCTAGAAGATCAAGGAATTTCTAGAGCAGAGAAACACTTAGCCTTGGTGCCTAAAACCTCTTCTCCCTAAAGAAAAGGGGAGAGTGAGAGTGCTTTAAAAATGTGCTAGGGAGAGAAAGGGCAGCCCAATATCCTCCTGGTTACTGTTCAAACCTGTAGTACCACCCTCTGTGGACAGCCCTGCCAGGGCCCCCAGGAAAGAGCAGATGGCCCCCATCTGCAGCGCCGTGAATCAGGCCCTGGTAATGGGTGCACAGGAAATAAACCAGCGGCGCTGAGATTCACGGTGAGGGACGCTGGAAGGGACATGGTGGTAATGAACCCTGAGCAGCCCGCTCCACACCTGCTCAAGTGTCGGGGAGGAATACATTACCAATATTTATTGTCAGATGGATGAAGCAAGCACAGACCAAACCTAATGCGTGAAATAAATAATACGTGTTTGGAATAACAGCATTTCTGGGGCAATCCATTCGGTCTGTTTCAACCACGGGGGGAGGCAGCATGAGAACCTGGCCCCCAGGACCCCAGTGGCAGGAGAAGAGTTAGCAAAATGGGGCTGATGGCCAGGTCCATTGAGCTCATTGGAGCTGGCAAAGCTTGATGAGAAGTGCAGGAGCCCCGCACCACCCCAGCACCGTACAAAACCCCTAAGTGCCTCCCATGGGCCTGGGGACACCCTTGCTGTTGTCCCAGGTCCCATGTCAAAGCCATGCCCAGAGGCTCCGGTCCCAGATGAGGGTTGAATCCAAGTCCATGGACTGAACCCCCTGTCCTTCCACAGCCCCGCAAGCCCCAGGTCCCATGCCTGGGCACGGTGCCCACGCTGCGTTTGTGAGGCCCATTTCTAGCTGCTCTGTTCCCTCCAGGCGGTGTCTCCATCCCATATGCACAGATGGGGCTGGCTCCACACCCTCACACCGCAGCCGTGTGGCCCTAGGGATTGAGTCCAGCAGCACCTGCCGGCCAGGTGTATGCTCTCATCCAACATGGAACTGAGAACTCGGATCGCCTTCCAAACACAGCAGAGGACTGGATCGAGGGCGCTTCGAGAAATTTTACCAAATAAAAAAATGAAGAAAAACTAATGGCATCTTCACCTCCCATTGCCAAGTAGCTCCACAAACCAAGTCACCCGTGAATTCAGAGAATGGGCCCGAGGGCAGGGAGCTGGGCTGGGAAGCAGACAGGAGGCAATGGAGCCCACCTGGGACCCCATTGGAGTGACTGTGTGCAGCCACCCGACCTCCACCCCTCCGCAGCGAGCCACGTCCACTCTGCATGTCCTCCCAGCCTGCGGTGTAACCAGCCCCTGAAGTCTGTCTGCGCTCAACTGGAATGAAAGCTCCCTACGCCCTGGAGCTTAACCTCTTATTTTGTAAATACTCTCGCCCACTGTTCCTTCTCTTTTTTGTTATGATACTGCTATTCTACAGACTTTTTTATTTCCTTATCTTAATGTTGAGTATCTGTTCTTTTCCTTACAGGCCTCCAGGCTCAGGCTGACGTTACACAAACCTCCCTTCTTCCAACAGTGTCAGAGATTTGCAGCACGGCTGCTCTTTCATACATTTTCTTCAGAACGCTGTGGTCTAAGAGCTGTAACTTCATTTTAATTTTTAACAGTGGACCCAAACTATTTATCAAACAGTCCAGTCCATCTCCTCATTCAAAATTTCTTATTGATTATCCACCAAATTCCCATCTATTCATCCCAGACATTTTCAATCCAAGAATATTGACCAAGAAAATGTCACGGCCCATGCTTCTTCGGTGACAGAAAGAAACCAGGATCAAATGGTCTCCTCCGAAGGACGATGGAGATGGAGCTGGAGGAACTTGGCTGGGGGGCCGACCAGGACCCTACAGGCCACAGAGAACCGCTGAGTCGGAGGCCCCACCCAGCACCTCGGAGCAACTCCCAGAGTCCCTGGTGACTCTTTCCATCCCTTCCCGAGGGTGTCATGACCTGGCCCAGGCTTGGTGGCCCCTCAGGTGCCCCGGGCCTACTTCTGGTCAGTGTTGGCCTTACCAGGCCAGGTCCATGTCCCAAGAACAACCAGACAATGACCTCCCAGACCAGATCCCCACCTGCCCTCACCAGGCTCCCACACGGACAGAGCCTCCCCCACTGACCCACCAGGCCTCATGCCACCTCCTCTTTTCCAGGGACAGAACAGTGGTGTCCTGCACATTCAGGGTCATTAACTAGACTTGACAGGCTGGGCACAGTGGCTCACACCTGTAATCCCAGCACTTTGGGAGGCCAAGGCAGGCAGATCGCCTGAGGTCAGAAGTTTGAGACCAGCCTGGCCAACACGGTGAAACCTCGTCTCTACTAAAAATACAAAAATTAACTGGACGTGGTGGCACGCACCTGTAATCCCAGATACTCAGGAGGCTGAGGCAGGAGAATTGCTTGAACCTGGGAGATGGAGGTTGCAGTGAGCCAAGATCGTGCCATGGCACTCCAGCCTGGGCAACAGAGTGAGACTCCATCTCAAAAAAAAAAAAGATTGGACATTTGATTGGGGAATGATAAACAGCCTTCCCCAAATGCCCTGGGGTGGCACTAGGGCATCCCTCAGTCCGCACCAGGCCCAGACACCTGGACAGTGACAGCCCCAGCACGACTCAAATGCTCCGCCAAGCTGTGCGTGGGTCAGAGGGTCTGAACACGCCCACGTGTGGCTCGGGGCACGTCCACACCACATCTGAGCAGGTGGTAGAGAACTGAGAGAGCCAGCCACTGAGCAAACGGTGGAGAAATGAGGTATGAGTGGGGCCGGCTTATCTCTACAGCATCAAGGGAAGAGTCTGGAACGTTTATCTGATGAACTGATTAAAGAATAAACAGAATTTCCCTTCACTCCTGCAAAACACATCTAAGCACAAGACTCTGTCTCCTTCCCTTGGAAGATACAGAGACAAGCAAACCACAGACACCCACGAGGGTCATGGCTCTGGAAGCCATGCCCTACAGAGCGGTGGGGTCTCAGGAGCAGCATGGGGAGGGAAGGGGCAGGTGGAGGTGCCAGGTGGGCTGGGGTGGACTTGGTCTCAGTGCCAGACCAGGCAGCCCTCACCTTATCCTGTGTCAGTGCCCCCAGAGTGTGAGCCCTCGTGACGTCCAGGAGGCAGGTACAGGCTGGGCCGGTCACTCATGGCTTCACCGTGGGGCCCTCGCAGGAGTTGGGTGGGCTCAGGCCATGTGGATGGGCTGCCCGCCTGGGGACTATGGGGGCTCCAAGGCCCTGAAGAAAGGTTTGTTCCCCAGTATCATCATCCACCTCTCTCTATGAAATGGACTCCTCTGGCTCAGAGAAGGCAGGTGGGCGCCATCCTCGCTGAAAGGGGCGGGCAAAGGTGAGGCTGAAAGTGACCAACTGGCGTGGAAAGGCGTCCTCATGGGCCCATTGCCTCTGCCTGCCCTCCAGCCTGGGGGAGCCCCGGGTGGCTGCAGTGGGAGCCAAGCTGTGTTTCTCAGCCCTTTCTATTCCCAGGATTGCCCTCCTCTAATCAGGAGAAAATTTATATTCAACGTTGATAATTTTTATTAGTTAATCAAGCAAATTCACATGAATTTACTTTTCCCCAATCAGAGCAAGTTTAAGTGCTGAGGAATGCGATTTGCAAGCAGAGTCCCCTGTGGCAAGGCACAAGCCACTAGGGTGGCGAAGTCATCCTCCCCAGGAGCACACGGGTGAGACGAGCAGAACCCAGCCCCAGAGATGCCGCTGAGGCCACAGCGTCCCCGCAGTCCCCATCCACCCTTTTCCACCTCCAGGAGGCCATCGTCAGGCTGTGGGGAGAGAGGCCAGGCCCTTGGCACGTGGGTCTGGGCTCCCAGATCCACAGAAGCCTACTGCTTCACCTGGCTTGTAAAACCTCTAGGTGCATGTCCTAGTGTATGTAGATTTGGTTGGCACAGAAATACGTGGGCATCATCACAAGGGCACGTGGCGGCCAGCGGCCATGGGAAGGGCTGAGCCAGGGAGGCATGAG